CGCATTGTGGCGCCCGGGTTGCGCTGCAGCACGGCGGCCGCAGTGCAGGACCAGGCTTGAATGGCGTCACGGCGTTTGTACTGCAGCGCTGCATGTGCATCGCAGCACCAGGCTTGGCTGCAGCGCTGCGTTTGCGTCGCAGCATGAAGCTTGTGCTGCAGCGTCGCGTTTACATGGCAGAGTATCGCTTGCGCTGCAGCGTTGCACTTCAGTTGAGGCACCAGGCTTGCGCTGCAGCACCGCAGCTGCGTTGCAGCGTTGCCTCTGCGTTACAGCACCAGGCTTGTGCTGCAGCGCTGCATTTGTATTGCAGCGTAACACTGGCGCTGCAGCGCTGCACTTGCATCACAGCGCCAGGCATGCGCTGCAGCACAGCAACTGCAATGCAGGACCAGGCTTGAACTGCAGCGTCGCATTTGTGCTGCAGCGTTGCATTTGCATGGTAGCGTATAACTCGCACTGCAGCGTTGCGTTTCAGTTGCAGCACCAGGCTTGCACTGCAGCACTGCAGCTGCACTGCAGCGCCGCGCTTACATGGCAGCGTTGCATTTGCATCACGGCATCAGGCTTGCGCTGCAGCGTTGCATTTCCATCGCAGCGTTGCGTTTGTGTTGCAGCACCAGCCTTGCACTGCAGCGTCGCATCTCCATCGCAGTGCCAGCCTGGTGCTGCAGCGTTGCAGTTGCATCACAGTGTCGCATTTGTGTTGCAGCACCAGCCCCGCACTGCAGCATCGCATTTCCGTCGTGGTGTCGCATTTCGGTTGCAGCAGCAGCCCCGTGCTGCAGCGTCGCATTTCCATCACGGCGTCGCATTTCAGCACCAGCCCCGCGCTGCAGCGTCGCATTTCTGTCGCATTTCCATCGCATTTCGGTCACAGCACCAGCCCCGCACTGCAGCGTCGCATTTCCGTCGCAGCATCGCATTTCCGTCGCAGCACCAGCCCCGCGCTGCAGCGTCGCATTTCCATCGCAGCATTGCATTTCAGCACCAGCCTTGCGCTGCAGCGTCGCATTTCCGTCACAGCGTCGCATTTCCGTCGCCGCACCAGCCCCGCGCTGCAGCATCGCGTTTCCATCGCGGCGTCGCATTTCCGTTGCAGCACCAGCCCCGCGCTGCAGCGTTGCATTTCCGTCACAGCATCGCATCTCGGTTGCAGCACCAGCCCCACGCTGCAGCGTCGCATTTCCATCTCAGCGTCGCATCTTGGTTGCAGCACCAGCCCCGCGCTGCAGCATCGCATTTCCATCACAGCGTCACATTTCCGTCGCAGCACCAGCCCTGCGCTGCAGCGTCGCATTTCCGTCACAGCGTCGCATTTCCGTCGCCGCACCAGCCCCGCGCTGCAGCATCGCGTTTCCATCGCGGCGTCGCATTTCCGTTGCAGCACCAGCCCCGCGCTGCAGCGTTGCATTTCCGTCACAGCATCGCATCTCGGTTGCAGCACCAGCCCCACGCTGCAGCGTCGCATTTCCATCTCAGCGTCGCATCTTGGTTGCAGCACCAGCCCTGCGCTGCAGCGTCGCATTTCCGTCGCAGTGTCACATTTCCGTCGCAGCACCAGCCCTGCGCTGCAGCGTCGCATTTCCGTCACAGCATCGCATTTCAGCACCAGCCCCGCGCTGCAGCGCTGCAGCT